ATTTTGTTCTAATAATTAGCTATTATTATGGAAATCTAAAGTAAAAGTAAATGAGGATGAAATGATTTAGTTTCAGATTTGGATGAATATGAATATTTCGACTAGCTTGAAATCTAGCAAACGAACGTTGATATTACGATTATTAAGATATATCATGCTGTAATCATTGTAATGATTGATAAAAATTAAACGCGTTCACTATAATTCTAAAGATCTAAATAAAATAGTAATATTAATATCTTTTTTAATAATCAAATATTTCGAGCTTACATTTTAAAAGCAGTGATAATTATTACTAAAACTACGGTTATAGTTTTAATTTTATTCTAAAAAAAGCACTGCATACTAACACTCACTTTTTTAAACTGCAAAAATATGTCCATTCTCATACAATTAGATCAGAATTTTATAAAATTAATCAAAATATAAATGAAATGAATTAGATTTAAACACGAAGGATTGGAAATACGTGTACGTACACGTACACATACGCAAACTTTTAGAAGTTAATTTGATCTGAAACCAAATTAATGATTTTTTTTTAGCAAACTTCATAATGTTATTTAAAAAAACAATAATTAACTTTTTGACAAAAATGTAATATATTTTGTAATTAATTTAGCAAACATTTTATTTTTTACTTTATATATATATATATCTTTTTTCAGAATAAATAGTCTTCTGATTTTGTATTTGAAAGAATATTAACTTTGCGGTAATGTACTGAGGAATTCTACCATATCACCAATAATTTTTCATCGATATAAGTATAGATGCGGAATCATGAACAAGTTCAAAGGTCAACATAAATTGCAATGAAATTCATTTAATATGAAGATGACTTGGGTGAATCTAAAAAGTATTATATACACATAGAAATACAGGAAACAAGCAAACAACTTAGTATCAAAAATCTAAAATACATATAAAATATAAACAGTATGAATTTGAAATCAGTAGTCAGTATAGTAAGGCAAAAAATTGAATGAAGAATAGACTGCAATACTTGATTACTTGAAATCGAATAAGGCAATCAGAAAAATCCTATAACTAAAGCACTGTATTCACATTTATTTAATGGCAATATTTTATCAAAGTGAATTTAAATTTGAATTAGTAAATTATTTTTGAACTAATACTTGAAAAATTGCCTGCTATAAAAATCTAATTTTAACAATCACCCAAAATTAAAAACCAATTACTCGCTCAATCCTATAACAGCTGTTCAATTAAACAGGAATTTCAGGTTATGTATCTTGTCATTCAAACAATTTTTAAGTTCAAACTTAAAGCAAACATTTTTTAAATTCAAACTTAAAGCAAACATTTTTCTGACATAGAATTTTAATAAAATTTATGTCTTCATATATGTTGTGGTGGTATTGTATGATTTTGCTTCTTCATCAACGATTTATCTAATCTGAAAAAAATTACTACAAATCTTTTAAAAGTATTCATAAGTAAATAATATCACAAAGTTTGAAAACAATGCTTAAATATATAAAAGTCATTTTAAAATTTAAAACTCTTTCCGATTCATATAAATTTCTTTGTAAAATATTTTAAAATTTGACTAAAAATTTAAAAAATCTAAAATTTTTTAGACAAAATTTGAAAGTTCAAAAAATCTAAAATTTAGTTCTTAATTTAACATGTTTATTCAATTCTATATATTTGTAAATGAGTACTTTATAATATTAATTTCAATAATAATAATGATTTAAACGAGCAAACAATAGATGTGACATTTTAAGATTAATTAAATTGAAAAGTAATTATTATAATATCTGTTTTGCAATTAATTAATATAAGCAAAGATTCCTCACTTACTTTAAGTAAAAGATTTTAATTCATTTTTTATCAATAATTGGTAGTTTGGATTTCTTCTTGCTTAAAAAACAATTAATTAATATTTATTAAAATTAAAATTCAATCTAACCCTTTTGTAAGTTCTTCATAAAATTTTGTCGGCATAAGTGTTAATGTAACGATCATTGGAGCGTTTTCCAAGTATGAGTGCAATTCTTTACCCTAAAATTAATAAAAAATTAATTAAGTACCATTAATTCTTTAAGTCTTTAAAATTTATAATGAATTTAAGATAATTATTTTATGGTCAAAAAAGCTATAAAAATTAAATGCAATTAATCTAATCAGAACTAACCATGAGCATTAAATATATCAAGTTTTAGCTTCAATTAAACTTACATTCTTTTACAATAAGATTAAAGCAGTTTTATAGTTATCAATAAAAATATTCCAATAATCATTTTAATTATTTCAGATGATTATTATTACAATTAATAATCATCTGGACATAAATTGAAATATATTCATTTTTATACATGTATTTACTACCACAAAAACAAAGTATGCCAGAAAACATTATTATTTTAGGTTAAAAAAAAGTTATTATCACCAAATAAAATTGTTATTATCAGTATTAATGAAAAAATTCTTTGGGAAACTAAAATAATTATTCACAAAAAAATCAAAATTTACATTACAAGCAAAAGTTAATATAGCAAAATATGTGCATAAAATTGCATAAATTAAAATAAAAAATTAAATATATATGTCACAAAATTGAGGCGTAAATTATTATTAAAATGAGTACATTTATTTACTTACTAACTAGATACTTTGAATTAAGTTATTAAGTAAATATATGTATTCAGTTATATTTTTCATCATAATTTTATTCAGATCATTAAGCAGTCCAATAAAATTTGTAATTTTTTACATTATTTGTATTTTTTTATATTACTTTTTTTAAATATATTTTCATTAAGTGACAAAATAAGTTTTGTTACTTAATTACTACTTGAAAAAATTCAGTAAAGAATTTTTTTAATTTACAAAAAATGTATAATAACCTCCAAAGACATCACATTTTGGCCATCAACCTCAATAATTCGTTGATTGACAAGTAATCCATTACGACTAGCACTTGAATGCTTCACCACTGAGACGATAAGATTATCTCTATAAACAATTCCTAAAATTCCTCTGGTATCCTTATGTAATGTTATAGTTCGAGCTAATGGCCTGAAATTATAAACTTTTTGTAAAATTATAAAATTTATTCGGAAAAATAATTTTTTATAATTAATTATGACAATAACCTGTGCCTCAATTTTATGATTCAATAAAATGTTTGAAAAATTATTTTATTTTTTATTTCAAAAAAAGACAAATTTAATAATTTATTGTCATTGAAAAATAACTGAGGCATAAATTACAAATATTTTGATCTGATTAGATCAAAAGTTTGTTACAAAGTGATTGGAGTAATCATACTTTATACAAAAAAACAAGTAATCATACTATATAATTTGATAAACTATTAATCATACTCTATAATTTTGATGTATTACGAAGATTAAGCTTTACAAAGTTATGATCAAAAATATATTTTCTAAATTTTATCAGAATTTGACAAGCATAAAACAAACTGAAATATGATATTGTTAGCTAGTACAAAGTTACTCTGACATGAAATCAGTTAATTCAGATCAAAGAGTTGTTTTTAAAAATTCAGATTCAAAAATTTAGAAATATTCAGATTTAGATATAAACAAAATTAACTAATAATTAGAAAACCTTCATCTCACAAATCCTTATATATGTTCGACTAAAATAAATTAAAATTACCTGAAAAATTATGAGCAAACTATTTAAAATGACTTTAAACATAATTTAAATAAAAATTATTTGCATTCATGTATACGTTTATTACAACTAATCACGTCTAGAATATATTTCATGCAAAATTACTTTAGAAAGCAATTTTGATATATAATTTATTTTTTTTTGAAAAAATAATCGAGAGAATCTTGAAAATTAAATTTGATGCAAGAATTTCTATGCATAAAATAACCTGTCTCGAAGCACAACTACCACGTCACGTTTTGATTTCTTCATTATATTGATAACCTAAAATATGTAAAAAATCCGAAAAACACGTAAATCAAAAAATTGTGCACAAATTAAATATACAAAAATTGATGACATAATAAAAATTAGTAACAACTTCAAGCTATTTACTTTTTGACCAGTCATTCCGAATACTTCCATTTCATTTACACTAAGTACTTGATCACCAAAACGGATTCCAGCTACTGCAGCTGGAGAATCTTCTTCTACCCATTGAACAAAAATACCCTAAAATGTCTTTTTTTTCATCATAATTAATACTGCCGTCAAATTTGTACCGCCAAAAATTTGAATAACTTAAATAATTAGTAAAAATTATATTGTCTTTCATAAAATAAATCTCCTTTAATCAAATTTTTATATCAGCTAATTATGACACAAAAAAAAGTACTAATAACTTTTTGATATGTCATTTCTCACTTATTCGTATTTATTATATAATTATCAAAACTGTATAATATTAAATCAGTTATTATACAATTATATACCATATTTATCTATTATTCAAAAGCTTTCTAATACTATATAAGTTTATACCTGGTTTACAGTTTGCATTTTCATTCCATATTTTTGACCTCTGAAACGATTTAAAATAACTTTACGGATGCCATGGGTTAGATTAGCTTTGACAAGACCAGTACATTGTGATGTAATTGGTGCTACGATTACATCATTTGCTGTTATTGGTAAACAGTTCCCAAGTGATGGTTGAACTGTTGCTGTAAACTGTGGATTCCAAGGATTAGGTCTTGAATTCTGTAAATGACTCAAATTACATAAGTTATATTCATAGATGTCGAAAATATTTGTGCCACGACAAATTGGAATGTATATAAATGGTTATCGAATACTCAAATGGTTATCAGATATTCAAATGGCTACCAAATATTCAAATGATTATCAAATATATCTTTTCAATAATTTCAAAAATTACATAGGTCACTATCAATTATCAAATATATGTATATATGTATTTATATAATGCATTATTTTTCTATAAATTCTCTAATATTTAAAAAACTAAATAACTTTCAGCCAATTATCAGAAATGATTTTTTTTCAATTTGGATTTTACGATTTTTTGAATTAACTCTCAATCGCTCACAAAATCTATGACATTGCCTTTGCAGTTTTTAGATTATTTTTGAGAATATTTTTTGCTACAAATTAAGAAAATAAAAAATACTTTAAATTAATTCACTTTACATTTAATACTGACTTAGACAGAATATAAATAAAAAGTTGACTTATCTAATCTCTGATATCAAATATGCATCAAAAAAGTCAGTGATCAAATCTTTCGAAGGGAAAAAAACGAAATTATTTTTAAAACCAAAAATTATAAGAACGCTTAAATTTAATTAAATGTCATCTTTTTCACTAACAATTTACATTTTTGACTACCTTCCAATTTTATAATTTTTCGGTTTATAAACTGAAAACAAAAATGAAATTTGAAGTGTTACAGATGAAGCTGAAGATTGTGATATGCTTTCATGATAAGATGGAAGTGTTGGATAATCGAGCAACTTTGCTGAAAATAAAATTATTTATATAAGGCATAAAAATTATTAATTCTTTAAAACAATTCATTAAATTTGCATACTAATTATTAAACAAAAGGCATCGATAAATCCTTGAACTACTTCTGACCTTTGACTCGTAGTTAATTTTTTTCTTTAATGCAGAAATTGAGTAAATTTTAAAACTTTATAGTTTTTACGATTTAAAAATTTTCACTATATATTTTTTTAACCTTATTTTTAATAACAAATAA